GAAACTCGTGTATTAAATAAATTAAATGCACACAGACTGAAGTAGTTTAAGTCTTTGGTTCTTTTAATTGTGATTTTGGAAACCAAGGTCCTAGAGTCTGGAGGAAGGGTGGAGAAGCTCATAGCCCAAGTTGCTTGAAGTCCAGTGTTAAGTTTCCACAGTCTGTGATGATTTGGGGTGCAATGTCATCTGCTGGTGTTGGTCCATTGTGTTTTTTGAAAACCAACGTCACTGCACCCGTTTACCAAGACATTTTGGAGCACTTCATGCTTCCTTCTGCTGACCAGTTTTTTGAAGATGCTGATTTCATTTTCTAGCAGGATTTGGCACCTGCCCACACTGCCAAAAGCACCAAAAGTTGGTTAAATGACCATGGTGTTGGTGTGCTTGATTGGCCAGCAAACTCACCAGACCTGAACCCCATAGAGAATCTATGGGGTATTGTCAAGAGGAAAATGAGAAACAAGAGACCAAAAAATGCAGATGAGCTGAAGGCCACTGTCAAAGAAACCTGTGCTTCCATACCACCTCAGCAGTGCCACAAACTGATGACCTCCATGCCACGCCGAATTGAGGCAGTATTTAAAGCAAAAGGAGCCCCTACCAAGTATTGAGTACATGTACAGTAAATGAACATACTTTTCCAGAAGGCCAACAATTCACTAAAAAATTTTTTTTTTATTGGTCTTATGAAGTATTCTAATTTGTTGAGATTGTGAATTGGTGGGTTTTTGTTAAATGTGAGCCAAAATCATCAATTAAAAGAACCAAAGACTTAAACTACTTCAGTCTGTGTGCATTGAATTTATTTAATACACGAGTTTCACAATTTGAGTTGAATTACTGAAATAAATGAACTTTTCCATGACATTCTAATTTATTGAGATGCACCTGTATTGTGCAAAGCACTCTTTGCCTGTCTCATTTTCTCCAAGACAAACCGGAACTGGTGCTACATGGTTAAAATTACTTTTGAAGTAGGTTTTTCGTTTTTGGTCAGTATTAAGTATGTGTGAATTGCAAGTCTGAAAAAGGTCGTCACTACGCAAAACATCAACAATGGTACATATATCCCTTTCAGGAAGCTGTAATGCAGCTAATTTGTCTCAACTTGAAAAGCAGATGTTCCTTACTCATGTCATGAATTTCTTGAAATTGACTAACAATTGTTTGAATTACAGATGATGGAAGTAGACATTTAGATTGCAATTTAAGATAAAATAAAGCAAGATGTCTCAAAAACAGTGCTTCATCAACACTGTCATCTTGTTCCATACTAGGGCCTTCATCACATGGAGCCTCATGAAGTACTTCAGACTGATGGTCAGAACTCTCAGACATGCCACCATGATGCGCAACCGAAACAACCAGATTTCCTTCAGAGCTATCACGATGTTTCCTAGATAAGTGTGCAGTAAAAGTGGACATGCTGGAAAACACTTTGCCACATCCCTGAAATGGGCATGAAACTATTTCCCCCTCCTTAATATGTGTCTTTAGATGTCGATAAAAGCTCTTCAATGTCTCACAACTAGCCCGACATAACTCAACATGACACGTTAGCTCAAACGAGTTGAAGGACCTTGAGCTAATCTCAGTTTTGCCTTTTCCATGTCTATAGCTGTGAGTCTTAAAAGCTTCAAACTTGTGAAATGTTCTGTTGCAATCAGGCAGAGCACAACTAAAAGTTACATTGGAAACATGTCTGTGTACTCGCATGTGCCTCACAAATGCACAGATGGTACTGCATGAGTGCATACAAAGTTTGCAAGAATACATGTCATTAAACTTACCTAATTTTAGCATCGTTTACCGTCTCGAAAATACAAGTACATCGAGTGAATGATTCCTGTATTAGATAAAAAGAATAAAACTATTTATTTTGGGTTATTGCCTCTTTAACCAAGCAAAGAATTCGACGGAGAAGACTGGCTAGAGAAATGCCTGACCCCGTTGACTGTCAATGTCTGTCTACAAAACGCAATTCGCGCTGAAAAGCAGTCAAAATATCTACCACTGTCACGTTTCAGTGACGACCTCCTCAACTTTTTGAATAAGCCTCCTGCATATAGGCCTACATGTAAATCTCGATAAAATACGAGTAGGTACTTGCACCATTATATCAAATAAAAAAAATTGCGTTGATTATATTGCGTGGTGTAACTTAGTGAATAACATTTACATGTATGCATCTGGTATTTAAAATTAGCGTCATGAATCAGAAATAGATGTAGATTAAAGGGTTTCTACAAAAGAAAATCGAGCTTATATCGAAGTAGTACCTTTTTAACCAAGCAAAATATTAGCTGTAATAATCGGAGGTTGGAGAAAACTGACTAATGGTAGCCAAATGCTTGACCCGTTAAGAACTGCCAGCAAAACGCAATTCGTGTCAAGTAGCACAGTCACAAATACCTCTTGAAAGACGTGATTTTACAAGTTGGGGGAACATAATGAAATAACAACAAAAAGACAAACTTACCTTGAACCGTGTCCTTTAAAACAACAGAGGTGAAGGCATGAGACGAGCTGTGAAGTGATCTCTTTTACCGCACTGTTTTGAAAAACAGAAGACTGTTAAAAAATCCCCACCCCCACATGTTGCTTTTTACAGCGCAAGACTGTTTTTTCAGGCGCCAACGGGTTTACAGTTAAATGCTGCAAATTTACAGCAAGTGATTAATCTATGGGCATTTGGCTGTTAATTACAGGATTAAACTGTCTATTGAAATAACAGTATTTTACTGTAGGAAATAGCAATTTTTTACAGTGTACCGTCACCGTCATTCACAGCCGCTCGCACGTGTTTTGCGCATGAGCCACACGCAGCCCAAAATTAAACGACTTAATCGACCATCGATAGCTTTAATCGATTGCATCCCTTATCGACAATTAATCGATCATCGATTAATCGTTGACATCCCTACTTTCAACTGTTTTCTTTATACTTCAATTTACATTACATCATTTATTTTCTGTTGTCTATTACTATAAAAACAAAATCAGTAACTCAGTGATGTATTTTTGATTTAGGCAGATAAGCTCCTCCTCCCACATGTTCACTGGTAGTGAAGCCCCGCCCACTGCAACACATCATCAGTGAAACTCCTCCCACTGCAACACCTCATCAGTGAAGCTCCTCCCACAGTAATTCAGCAATAAATGCTGGAATATCTCCATCAGTTCACAAGTGAAGACGAGCATCTAATCATCAGGAAGAGCTGAAATCTGCAAAGACTGAGTTTATTAAAGAGGACAGAGAGAAGATGAGAGATCCAGAACCCTGCAGAATCAAACACACTGAAGATACTGAAGAACTAACAGGTTGGTGTTTATTCTTCATTAATGAGGCTGAATGTTATAAAGCTTCAAACAGTATTAGTTTTGTTGTAACAGGAAAAATATTTAGAGATGTTGAATAATCT